CTCCCCCCCGAAACCCGGTAGTCATAATGTCCAGACTCATCAAGGAAATCACGCCCAGGCACATCCAGGTTTGAGACCCCTTGCAAATAAGTGTACGTAGGGAGGTAATCACCACCCCAAGATGGCACGGGCCCTAGTTGGGCTGGCTCATATGGGTAGTTAACCGGAGGAGTGATCTCCCCCCTACGTACACTAACATCGTATAGGGCGCTAGTTTGGGAGCAAGCAGTGGTGCCCATTTCTCACTAGCAAAGAATAAATATCGGCTTTCTTTATACTCTTAATGAAGCGAAGGGTGCCAAGTTGCTTCACATTTAGTAACGTGTCTTCACTTCCTCTAATCGGAGTGCAAGGCTTCAAGAACCCGTCTTGCTTGAAATGATTTATCAACCTCGTCACCATCCCTCCACAATGAATTTCACCGGTTTAACCCCACCAATAATCGCCCGGCAACACTCCATGAAAATGTATCGAAAATTAACCCGTGGCCCAAGATCCGATTTGGTGGCCATCTAGAGAACCATGATCTCTTCTCTTAAAAGCTTAACAAGATCTTGCTTGTTGAATACGACATAACCAAGGACCCTATGAAGAATCCTAAGGGCCGGATGAATGATTTACTAGTAATTGAGTTCTTGGAATCAAAAGTTCTTTTATGAGCAATGGTTCGCCACCACAAAACTCCATTATAAGTGGTCGGGTTTGAAAGGAGTGGCTCATGAATATCTGCATGAGGGTTAAACCTGAGAGATTCATTGAATTCAAAAAGGTTTAAAGTATGTTAGACATTGAACAGCTGGAATGAAATGAGATAATTTGAATCCCCCACCCGATTTTATTCAAATGTTAAGAAAAATTCGATGGTGGGTTCCAAGTATGTTCTAGGAGCAGTTCAAACAAACTCAGTCAAACGGAGGTTGTGGAGGAGGATGTCAAGGTCGGATTCAATTCATAACTGGACCATATCATCACAATAGTAATTCCGAGTCGGTTTAAACTTTCGAGATTTCATTTTATTAAATTTGGGAGCTTGTTTAGACCATTTGTAGAATTTGAGAGGTGGAAGAGCTGGAGGTGGGTTAGTATCTTGAGTAGAGAGATTAGGAGGAGGTTGGCTTTGAGAAGATTAGCCATGAGAAGATTGGCCGGGTGATTGATGGGAATGTTTCTTGCTACTTTTGGCTTTCCTTAACAAATCCATGATAACCTAATCAGAAACACCAAATAGCTCAAAGGAAATCACACCAACAACTTCTCAACACCAATTCCACCACCAATACTCCACACAACTACACAACACCCCCAATATTACAAGGTACCTGTTTCAAACAAAAAAAACAACCAAAATACAAACAACAACCAACAAAATTAACAATCAATTTCAAAAGTAAACTTAATTCACTCAAAACAATTTCAAAATCAACAAACAATTGTCCATAATCATCATATGCATTTTAAACCAAGGTATACCAAAATAAATCCATAAAATCAATAAAAAAAATCAACAAAAATAGAGCAAGGATTAGGATTATACCAAATTTATAGACACAATGAAGCACTAGAACTCCAATAACGGACTTAGCACCAAGCAAGCTTGAAAATGCTTCAAAAACCCGAATTTTTCCGAAAAATCACGAGAAAAATGTTCCAAACTTGATGAAAATTGAGATATGTAAGATATTAAGGTGAAAATTTGAGTAAAATCAAGAAATTTGATGTGAAAATTATGAATTAGGGGTTAGGGTTTGAGAGGAAAGATGAGAGAGAAAGAGTGTAAAATATGAGAGATGGGAAAAATAAGACAGGAGAGAGAAAAAAAAAATCGGCCGAGAGAAAATAAACCCAGCTGGCTGCGCCCGCGCCTGAGATCGCCACGCCCAAGGGGAGCCCGCGGCAAGTTCCTGGAAAGTTTCATGAATTTTACCTTAATAAAGGTCCACGTGCTCTCCCAAATTTTACGCACCCGCTCCATAATGGCCGCGCCTACGAGGAGCCCGCGGGTTGCCCGCGGCTACAAACTGAAAGTTTTTCTTCAAAAATTGCTTTAACGAGGAGCCGCACCCTCTCTAAATGACCCGCGGCCTCTCCCTTCAGCCCGCGGGGCAACCGCGAAGAGTTCCTGGTTGAAATTTGCAAAATTTGTCATTTTGAAGCTCAAAACCCCCGCAGCCTCTCCATGCAGGCGGGGTGCCCTCTCCCCTGCATCAAAAACTCTTCTTCTTGCACTCTTCTAATCATTCACCCTATATCCATAGTTGATGATAGAAAACAACCTACAAAACATACAAAAACAAGAAAAATAGTAAAAACAAAGAATAACAACAAAAATAAAAGAGAGAAAAGAAATTAGAAAAGAGGTTTAAAATCTGGGTTGCCTCCATTAAGTGCTTTTGTTTAACGTCGTTAGCTCGACGATTACCACCCATTCAAGGTGGTTTTCGGAGAAGCAATGAGTGATCAAGGCCAACAAAAGCACTATCAAAATACTTCTTGAGGCGATGGCCATTGACTTTAAACGAAGAAGAAGAATCCATCATCGAAACCTCTACAACACCACTTGGAAAGACACTATTGACCAAATAGGGACCGCTCCATCTTGACATAAGCTTTTCGGGAAAAAACTTCATTTTTAAATTGCAGAGAAGAACTTTATCACCAACACAAAAATATTTCTTCTCAATAAGTTTGTCATGTGTTTCCTTGGACTGAGCCTTGTACACACTAGCACAATCATAAGCATCAAGCCGAAGCTCCTCTAGCTCATGAAGATCCAACCACCTTTTCTCCCCCGCACTTGCCAAGTTAAAATTTATCATCTTAATTGCCCACAAAGCACGGTGTTCAATTTCAACCAGGAGATGGCATGACTTGCCATATACTAGGCGGTATGGAGTGGTACCTATGGGGGTCTTGAAAGTCATTCGATAGGCCCAAAGAGCATCATCCAATTTCTCCGACCAATCTTTTTTATTTCTCACAACCGTCTTTTCAAGGATGAGTTTGATTTGACGATTAGAGACTTCCACTTGACCGCTCGATTGGGGATAATATGGGAGGCCAAATCTTTGATGGACTCCATGCTTCGTCAACATGTTTTGAAATGTATGGTGAATAAAATGAGAACCGTTGTCGTTTATCACCGCCTTTGGCACCCCAAATCTTGGAAAGATTATTTCCTTAAACAACTTCATAACAACCTTGTGGTCATTATTTGGGGAGGCAATGGCCTCAACCCACTTAGACACGTAGTCGACTGCCACAAGGATAAATTGATTTCCGAAAGATGAAGGAAATGGCCCCATAAAGTCAATACCCCATACATCAAATATCTCCAACTCGAGTATGGGTTGTTGAGGCATTTCGTTTCTCTTGGAGATGTTCCCAACTCTTTGACATTGATCACATGTCTTTACAAAGCCCCATGAGTCTTTAAAGAAATGTGGCCACCACAAACCTCATTGGAGGACCTTAGCGGCGGTCTTAGAAACACCCATGTGGCCCCCGCTTGGATCCAAATGGCACATTTTCAAAACATTAGGCACCTCTTCATTTGGCACACATTGTCTAAGTATGCCATCGACCCCTTGCTTATATAAGATGGGATCATCCCAAACATAATGCCTTGCCTCTCTCTTGAGCTTCTTTCTTTGATTCTTAGAAAATGAAGGAGGAAACTCCCCACATGCAAGGAAATTCACCAAATCGGCAAACCATGGGAGCTTCTTTGCTTCAATAGCATATAAGAAGTCATCAAGCATCTTATCCTTAATTGGAGAACCATCATCATGAATTTGAGAATCATCTAGACGAGAAAGATGGTTTGTCACAACATTTTATGTTCCTCTTTTATCCCTAATCTCAATGCGAAGGTTTAAAGCTCAAGAACCCACCGGAACAACCTTGGCTTGGATTCTTTATTGGCAAAAAGATATTTGAGAGCCGCATGATCCGTGAAGACTATGGTTTTGGAACCCAATAGATAACAACGGAACTTCTCAAAAGCATGAACTATAGCCAAGAATTCCTTCTCCGTTGTAGTGCAATTCTGTTGAGCTCCATTAAGAGTCTTGGATATATAATAGATCACATGAAGCTTCTTGTCCACTCTTTGACCAAAATGATAAAAGAAGATTATGAAAAATAAGGTGAAAATATCCTAAAACACTACCCTATAAGCGCCATGAATGACACTCGTCAGTCTCACACGAAGATTTAAAAACATTTGGTTAGCTATTTAGGCAATGATTGGCTTGTATGCGTAATAAACAACCTGGGGATATTCTCACTGACCAAGCTGCTGCAATGCACAAGCCTTTAGCACAAGTGATTCCTAATGCGCGCCATCGTTGGTGCACTTGGCACATAATGACGAATATCCCAGATAAGCTCGGAAAATGTGAACAGTAAGTAGTATTTCTTAATCTTAGAAGTCTGATAGTGTCACACATGATGAAAAAAATATCTATGTGTATGAATAATGTGGTTGTGTATGAATAATTTGGTCATATAATTAACTTTTTGTTACTTTCCAGTAACTCTGGCTGATCTGTTTTTATACATGGTGTATTGTGTGGCAGTTGTAACCATATGATTTTTTTAAAAAAAAAATGCCTTGTTTATAGAAGTGCTGTTTTGTATGCTTTATTTGGTCATTTAATTAACTTTCATTTACTGTCCAGTACATCTGGCTAATTTACTATGTGTATACATTATAAAAGTTTTTATAGATGGTATACTGTGTGTATCAGTTATATCTGTTTTTATAGATGGTGTACTATGTGTAATTATATGCCTCTGTGTGAACCATATGCAATACTTGTTTTTTTTTTTTTGTTTTTTTAATGTTATTATATAGCGGAGAAGTGATTTTGTTTTTATAAGGACTGAATAATTGTGTGATTAAAACATTTTTCAGCTATCATGACTTTAAGAGTCCTCTTAAGAGTCTTATTTATGAGAGCTTCATAGTTTAGGAGTTTGAGCATAGATGGTCAGACTTAATGAAGCAATATAGCTTAGAGGACGATGAATGTTCATGTGGGTTGTATGAGGAAAGGCATATGTGGGTCCCAGCCTTTATGAAGGAGCAATTCTGGGCTTGGATGAAGACAACGCAAAGGGTTGAAAGCATTAACAATTTTTTTGACGGGTTTGTAAACAGGAAAACAAAGATGTATGAATTCCCGGACAAGTATACTAGGGCAATGGAGAGGCGTGTTGCTGCTGATGATGATAGGTGTAGGAAGTATGTTAGGCGTCTTGTGAGTGGGTTTCATGTTGAGAAATACTTCCAGGAAATCTACACTGACACCATGGATGGGAATGTGATTCAGTACCTCCTTGAAGATAGGGTGTGGATTGTTTCGGAAGGGAAGAGCGAAGAAAAGATTACTCATAGGAGGCGATTCTATTGTGTTCTTTTTAACATAGTTACAAAGGATGTGTCTTGTGATTGACGGAAGTTTGAAACATTTGGTATTCTGTGTAGGAAGGTAATCCGAGTGCATGATCAAAATTTAATTTTTGATATACCATCCAAGTATGTTCTTGATAGGTGGCACAAAGATGGAACTCGGAAGCACACTCGGGTTAAGATTGCTTATCACGATCCAACTGATAATGTGGCATATCAGAGGTACAACAAATTGATGGAGGAGTTTAAGGCAATAAGAAAAGTAGCATCAGATGTTGATGACAAGAAAAGTTTTGATCTTGTTGTTAAATCTCTGCAAGCTCTTCAATTAGAAGTCCAAAAAATCCGAGAAAAGTTCCTAGAAAATCAACCACCTGTACCATTCCTACCAAGGACACTTTTACCCTCTTCTAAAATAGCTTCAAACAACCCTGTCGAATAGCAAACCCCCAACTCTATTTTAAAGCTTTTGAAGGATCCATTATCTCATAAGAAACCCCGAGTACGACCAAAGGGGAGTAGGCATAAATCTAATTGTGAGTTGGGGTACAAGAAGAAGAATGGGAAAACAAAGGTTGCAAAAACTTGGCCCTTGTTGGGGGGAGTGACAATCCTGAGCAGCCACATGTGCAGCCACCTAGTGTTGCTAAGCTATTTGCAAGTTGATCTGACTTGCTTTATTGTTTTGCCCCTTGAAATGCAATCAACAATTGTTAATTTCAAGTGTTACTTACCTACTAAATGACATGGAAATTCAATTAATATCTGCATGTTTAGGTTGCTGGATCTTTTATATTAATTATGGCATTGTTTGAACTCCTGGAAAGAAATGCAATCATGCTTGTGTTGTTGTTTGGCAGGAAAAGAGAAAAAAAACAAATGATGTACTACAATAATACACAATAGAGAACTGTTATGACTATGTTGCAGACCTCGGTGCGATCAATGACATTCTTCTAAGAAACAGTTTAGATAGGTCAGGTCCATCTGAAGCATTTTGAATTCAGATTTGTCAGTCTTGTCTGCAACTTATTATCCTTATGCATCCATTTCATCAGTTAATAGTACTATGTAGTAAACAAAAGTGTCTTTTGTAGTAAACAGTAGTGTATTTTGTTTTAGCCAATGAGCAACTATGGGTTTAGCTTTTGTTTGAACGATTGCATTAGCTTTTGAGTAGTATTCAATGCATTAGCTTTAGTTTGAACGATTGCATTAGCTTTATAGTTTCAGCTTCAGGAATTACATGCATTAAAGTTGTATTGTCATTGCCTAATTCATACAATCAATTACCTATCAAAGCTAGCCTACTACGTCCCCACTACGTCTCTAACTACATACACTTACAAATATCTATAAAGTGCAATATACATTACACCAGGTGTTGTATTTAGATTGTAGAAGAGAGAAAAAGCAGGAGATGATTTAGTGTCCAAGCCATCTGCCAATTTTATCTAAATAATGCTAAGAATTAATTAAAATTCTGTTGTTTGCTCTACTAAATAACTGTCAATATACAAATTAGGGTTTAAAGATTTATACATCATATCCTACTTTGTTGAAGTGTAAGTTATACGTATAATAATTTGAATGTGGACTTACCAAATTTTGGGCATGTTGAAGTGTAAGTGAAGGGTCTATTTTGCTGAGGTCTTGTGTTTTCAATATGGGGTTTCTACTCCAGTTCAATTTTTTAGTCGTGCTTAACTTTAGGGGGTTTGCTCCAGTTCAAAAATTGGGTCGGGCTCTAGTTTAGGGGAGTTATGATTGATGAGCGTCAGTTATGGCGCTCAAAAGAATATGATTTAGGTTCATTTTCTATAATTTCTTTCATTATTTTCATATAATTTTCTTAGTTTTACTAGGTTTTCCAATTCAATAGTTCATTTTGGTTCTTGATTTGTTTTTATGAGTTTTTCATATTTTTAAATGATAATTCGTAGTTTTAGTTTAGTTTTTATTTTATTTTGTTTTCTTCCTTAGTTTTATTTGTGTTTTGTAGGTGAAAAATCAAGTCAAATAGCAAATTTAGAATGTTGCCCTCCTCGCGGGCATCGTCTCGAGTGCACTAATGATAGGGATGCTCGGGAGTGCGGAGTTTGATCGAGCAAGCGAAGGAGCCAAGGCCACAAGCACCAAGCAGGGGTGCGCACGCGACACAGGGGGTGCGTGCGCACAGACCCTTCAATGCGCGCGCGCGGCTTGGTTGGTGCGCACGCACAGCCTCTTCCAACTCCCTTCGCTCGTTTATTTCTATTTATAGCTTTTGACTTTCTTTTTTTTGGACGACTTATTTTTGTACTTGAGGATTAATTTTCCAGAAATAGAAGAGAGAGAAAGTAGAGAGAGAAGCTTAAGATTTACTTGTTTTGTACTTGAATTTGTTCTTAGATTTCAATTAAATCTTAGAATTACTTCTTCAATTCAGTGAAAATTTGTGAGAATTCTTTCCTTTGATTTACTTTTATTGAAATTTCTTTTAATTCTTGAATTGATTTGAATTATATTCTTTGCTTTAGAATTTGCTAATTGATTGATTTTCTTTTTTATTAAGCTTGATATGAATATGATTGTGATGGAATTTGTTTTGCTTCTCAATTTCACCATGATTAGTGAGTAGATTAGTTGCTAGGGAGAAGGGAAAGCATGCTTGATCGAAGATTTTTGCTAGTTGATGATCCTAAATTGATTGAATTGTTGCAATTAAATTGGTTGACATAGTTGTGCATGTGATTAATTAGACTAGGAGTAATCAACCTATAAGATTAATCTAGATTTCATTGCAAATTTCGATGACATGAACCCTTGATTTGAGAATAGCTTTAATTGATTGAATTTGATTGTGATTTTCCTTGTAAGCCATTCATAGTGAACTCTAACTTGGCTTATAGAAGATATCTTTTTGATTCCTTTGATTTCAATTATTGTTTGTCCTTTGTAATGTTGAATCGATTGAGTGATCTATCATTTAGCATAATCATTGAGCTTGCATGTGGAACCTATATCCCTAGTGTTTAGCACATTTAATTTCTCGATTTATCTATTCTCTTGATACCTTAGTTACCAACCATAACCATCTACATTCTTCGAACTAGCCTCACATAGGCTATAGCTTGCACCTAATCATTCCTTTAGGTTCGACCCTTGACTTACCATATACTCGTATTAGGTTGGTCGTGTGTTTACAAATTTAGTTTGGCTCTAGGAAAGGGTAGAAAACGACCTACATTTTCCTCTTGTCAATGATCCATGTTTTAGGGGGTTTTTTGTCTAGTTCAAAAATTGGGCCTTGCTCTATATGAAATACTACGTATTATGTTAGGGGCTCATTTGTAACTTTTAAGAAACATGGGTGGGGAAGGGTAACAAGTAAGATTTAGGCGAGACTTTTACTTTTACCATTTTTTTTTCAAATTAATTTGCAAGATTAGTCACTTGGGAGTTTGGACGATTTAAGAGTAAATGAAATGGTTAAGGGTTTACCACTTCTAAACAGCCTCACTTGTCATATGGACCATACTAATTTTATGTGGGATCGACCTTAAGCCTTGTTTGATTCATCTTATTTATTTTTCTTTTTTTAAAAAATAAAAGTTTTTATAAGATTAATTTTATAAAATTAGAAAAATTATTTCGCAAGTTACAATGATGTTTTGAATAATAATATCCTAATTCATATTACAACTAAATTAAATATTTTTATAAGGCCTTCTGACGGAAGGAGTATGATGTTTCCAAAATAGCAAGGCATGTTTAGTAGCTAGCTATAGTTTGACTTTAACCAATTTTTAATGAAAATTGTTTTCAAAATTGTAATATGAAACTTTATATTATGTTATCTTATAATATAAGTAAATGAGCAAAAATAGTCACCATAAAAGATACGCAATTTCTTTAGTTAAATATGTAACAAGTAATATTAGCAATTAGTCACCATAAACCCCGTAGTTTCAGTATAGTAACCAGAACCCCCCAGCACAGTTAATCAAACTAATAAATATAACATACATTCATTTAAAAAACATAGAAATTTCAAACGTGTTCATCAAGTTTCAATAGCAAATAGTCACCAAAAGAGAGCACCCATGACGAAATCCCATTATCTTACATATTGTCCAACCACTAATTAGAGATTTAGGCCCTGTTTGGGAGAAAGCTGAAAGATGAAAGCTGAACCTGATTGAGTTAGCTGATTTTAACTAGCTGATTTTAACTAGCTGATTTGACTAACTTATTGTATTAACTGATTATATAAAAGTGTTTGGTAAATAGCTGATAGCTGAAAGGTGATTGAGTATGTGAAATGACCAATAAGCTAAATGTGGGGTAGGTAGTTTAGATAGAATTTTAAATTAAATGAGATTATAAGTGTCATTTCACAATAATTAATGAATAAGCTAATTGAAAAATCTCTTAAAATGAGCTTTTTCAAAAAGAGCTTATTTAGTGGAATAAGCTCTTTCAATAAGCTTACTACCAAACACTTGTATTAGCTTGTTTGACTAGTCAATCAGCTAAAGTTAGTCAAATAAGCTAATATACCCCTAATAAGCTAACTACCAAACAGAGCCTTAATATTTTACATTCAAAAGGGGTGGTGGCAATTAGGGATATTATTGATCAAAGTATCATATGGTAAAACCGCGTACTTCCCTCCAAAAAGGTATCAAACCGCATACTTCCATCCAAAAGGTATCATCTAGAAATAGACCATCACTTGAGTGAGTTCGGAGCTATAACCACCTTGTATCCGTCCTTAATTCCGGCTTCCTCGATAGTTTCAAGAGAGCAAAGAATCGTGTCTTCATGGTAGAACACCAAATCAGTTGGATCAACATCAAACTTATCTCCCCATACGTGGAACAGGCTACACAGCGGAGTGTCCAACTTTCCTTGGACTAAAAGCTTTTTGTTTATTCAATGTCCTGTGTTCTTAAGATAGACACTTTTGGTTCTTGTGCAGGTATTCACCACGCCTTCCTACATAATACACCAACAAATTTTTACGCAATACATGTATTTTCTTCACCAAAAATACACATCAATGTACACTTAGTGGAACAATTTGACCATGACAGTTTGTATTCTATTTCCCTTTGAAGTTTTTCAATTCTTCTTAACTTAATTTTACGCAAGTGAAATTACTTCTTGTCTCAAAGGAAATTAAGTACTTGATACATCAACAACTTATAAATGGAAAAATTACTAAATTTAACAAATTTATAATAAGGCACAAACAACACATAAATGGACAACACATATATCAAACTAATCATTATGAGGCACTAACTTACCTTTTACTCTAATAATTATTTAACTTAATAACATTACGGTAAATTAAATATTGTGAAATTTTTTATCAATTTCAAATTAACACTTCTCAACCTATGCGCATAATGTTAACAATTATGTACTCGGTACTAATGTAAGCTCAACAACAAA